GCCTGACCAATAAGTTAGCCAGGTGTGGTGGCCGGCGCCTGTAGTCCCAGCTACTTGGGAAGCTGAAAGAGGAGAATTGCTTGAACCCGGGAGGCAGAGGTTGCGGTAAGCTGAGATCATGCCACTGAACTCCAGCCACTCCATCTGAAAAGAAAAAAAGAAAACAAAAAGAACACGATGATAAGAGACAGGGACACACAGTGAGTAATAGAGGTGCCCAGAAGCACAAAGGATGGTAGGCAAACCCCCAGAAGCCAGGAAAAGGCAAGGAAGGATTCACCAACGGGGTAGCAGAGAATATGGTCAAACTTCCAGCCTCCAGAACAGACATAAATTGAGTCCTTCGAAGCCACCCAGTTTGTGGTGCCTTGTGACAGCAGCCCTGGGAAATCACTGCAGGTGGTAAAGCCATCTTTCCTCTGTGCCACACCATATTCCATCTTTGGGACAGGGTTGACTCCTATGGCATGATCTGAGAAGGAATGCATGCCAAAAGGGTCTGCAGACTTCACTTCATCTAAAATTCCAAATACAGAACCAGAAAGTGCCTAAACCATCTTTTTCACCTTGATAACTGTGAATGTGAAGTCAGTCCCTCAATTGCCTAGGGAGAAGCTGGCTTACCAGGGAGAGTACACCAGGGAAAATGAGCTGTTCCCCCAGGTGCCTCCTTAAGACATGTTTGTTACTGCCTACCTCCCAATCCCCGGATCCAGTCTGATACCTAGGCACCTCCCTAATTATACCCAAGATGCTTTCCTCTTCTGATCTTTTTTCTTCTCCTATTCCCTAACTCCAACAACTGCTACTGTTTTTCCTCAGTTTTCCCTGGTTTTGCCTTAAATCTGGCAGTGGGATCAAAGAGCATTTCTTTAATCCCACTGGAAGAAAACCCAGTACCAAAATGTCTAATCCCTGCTCCACTACTTCGGTCCACATGGATTCCTTTGAATAATGTTCTCACTCTCCCTGGTGCTGCTGTCAGGGCAGGGGGTTGGGGGTGGAGAAGGCAGAGAGAGACAGGATCGGTGTAGCAAGGAGGGGAATCGAGAGGGTAAAAGGCACAGTACAGTAGATATGGATGTGTGTGTCTGAGGGTTGCTAGTTTTTCATCCTTGAATAGATGTTCTGAAGCCTCATGACCCTTGGGAAATCAGCATATTCCATTGCTTTTTGCTCCGAATCTCTGGTATTCTGATTTTTAGAAGTGAAAAAAATATTTTGATTTAAGACATATGGTCTTTTCCTCCTTCCACTGGAGCTGTAGGAAACTCACAGGGGCAGGTGTGGAAAGCAGTGGCAGGAGGGTGGGTGGGTACATAGGCTCCGTGTGTCTACAGCTTGTGCAGTTCTGTAGCTATGGCAACCATGTGTAATGCCACTTGAGTAGCCTTATAGCACGACCCGAGAGTTACCCCTGGCTCCTCAATGATTCCTCTTCAGTGCACTGTCTGTGCTGCTGTTTCCTAGCTACCATCACTCTGTTTTATATATATATATATATTTTGAAGTCGTGCTTAAGCATTGTTTCTGTCTGCTACGCTTGTTGCCACTGCATCTTAGTTCATCTGATAGCAAAAGTGGATAGCAAACCCAAAACCCATGTCTTACAGATACTGTTAGTTGTTAACAATTGTCAGTACAGGTTTTTTTGTTGTTGTTTTTTGTTTTTTTTGGAGGTGGAGTCTTGCTCTGTCACCCAAGCTGGAGTACAGGCAGTATCTCGGCTCACTGCAACTTCCGCCTCTTGGATTCAAGCAATTCTCCTGCCTCAGCCTCCCAAGTAGCTGGGGTTATAGGCCTCCACCACCACACCTGGCTAATTTTTCTATTTTTAGTAGAGATGGGTTTTCACCCATCTCTAGAGATGGCTAGTCTCTAACTGCTGACATCAGGTGATCCACCTGCCTTGCCCTCCCAAAGTGCTGGGATTACAGGCATGAGCCACCACGCCTGGCCAATTGTCTGTACTTAAAACACATTGTGTTAGAAAGATTCTTGAGGCAGTGGTCTGAATGAGATGACCACTTGGGAATTTTTCTAGTTCTGCTGGTCCATGCTGGGTGGGCGCTCTGTCAGAGCTAATGATGCTATCAATTGACTGCCTGCCTACTGAAAATCTTTTTTTTTCTTTTTTGCCAGTTGTTACAATTTCCTGACAACAAGAGTAGTATAATGAAAGTAAAATTTACAGCAATATATGCAAATGTATCATATCCTATGAAGATTGTACATAAGTAATGTATGCATATGTACCCCATAAGAGAAAGCTGCATTGTGTTAATTCTGAGAATATATGCATAAGTGGTTTCTTTTATTTATTGTTAAAACAACCTCCAAATGCCCAGAAATATTTCTGTTGTAATTAAATTTAAATGTTTTTAAAAATTCATGGGAGTTGGTAATTTACTATATTTTAGTTTCCTTATATTTGGTCATTAAGTGAGGTATCATAAACAGCTAAGATTTAAGGCCCTTCACCTTCCTGGGCCTCAATAGAAGCAGGATGTCAACATCCATAAGTTACAAGCAGTCTCCCCAAGGGACTGTCATACAAAATACACTTATAATTGAATTAACTTGGGAGAGGATTCTGGGAAGCTGATCGCATCAGCAGCATAGTTTTTCATTCTTTCTAAATCCTTAAATAAAAAGAAGAGAGAATGACTAGATAGAAAAACCAAAAGTCCCTGAGTGGTGTTTACTGCAAAACTAGGTGATAGGTGATCCCCACAAATACAAGTGAGCAGAGATAAACCACCAATAGTTAAAACATGTGGATGGTATCAGCGCCTGTGTGGGAGAAAGAATAAAGGAGCTGCATCTGACGGGCCTGAGAACAGGAGGACCCCAAAATAGCCAACAGGCATTCACTGGAGACAGGGCAGGCCGGTCTGAGAACAGCAGCTGAAACTGGTAGGGCTTTGGTCCAATACCAATGTCAAGCCCATGGGGACTAAGTCTGAAGAGACTGCAGATGCGTTGCCCCTCTGAACTCTCCCAACCAACTTGCCAGGCCCCCTTTGCCAGACAGAGACTCACACTAAAGATAAGTTGCTTGGGGTGGAATAAAAACTGAACAGGACATGGACAAAAGATGAGGGAAAGAGAAGCTCCACACTGAAAAAGTGAAATATCATAAAGCAAGCTGCCTTATGTTTTAACACTCCTCCAAATCAAGAGAGGGAGTTCTGTGAAGATACTTTTTTTCAATGCAATTTTTACAATAAAAGTTCAGAAAAATGAATTCTACATTAAAAGAAGCAACAGAATACTAAAAATTAGCCAGGTGTAGTGGCAGATGCCTGTAGTCCCAGCTACTCAGGAGGCACAAGAATTGCTTGAACCTGGGAGGCAGAGGTTGCAGTGGGCCAAGATTGTGCCTCTGCGCTCCAGTCTGGGCAGCAGAGTGCAGTGGCACAATAAATACATAAATAATAAAGAAGCAACAGAAAAATATCAAGGTCACGTATATTTTACAAGGAAAAAAAAAAAAAGGAATAAGGAGCTACAGGCAATGAGAGCACCCCAGAAAGAAATATCCACAAAACAGATCAAAACTGTAATCTGTTACTTCCAAATGAGATAAGATACTAGGAAAAAATACAAGATATGAAATAACAAAAATAAGGTATAGAAATTCAGAAATGAAGTAGAAATAAGGAAGTAATTAGAAATAAAACAAAAATAATTGAAGAACTAAAGAGTAAGCTAAAAAGAAAATAAGAGCAGTTAAATTCAATAGTAGTGTCCGAAGAGAAACATGTGAAAAAGAAGAAAGTACTTTTTACATGTTTTTAATTCAGAAAGAGACAAGGATTTAAGAGAAAAATGACAAATATTGAAGAATGACAAAAGATCCAAAGTACAGATAAGAGAAGTCCCTAAAGAAAACAAATTAGCCAGGCCCGGTGGCATGTACCTGTAGTCCCAGCTACTTAGGAGGCTGAGGCAGGAGGATTGCTTGAGCCCAGGAAGTCAAGTCTATAGTGAGTCATGATCATGCCACTGTACTCCAGCCTCAGCAACAGAATGAAAACTCATCTTAATAAATAAACAAAGAAGAAGAAAACAAAAGTGAGGACTAGAACAAGTACTAACATCTTTCAGGAAGGAAAAAAGAAAAGACTTGAAATGACAAACCGATACAGCACACCAAATATCCAGAATGGTCAATTCTAGTACAATTGCTGGATTTTAATGAAAAAGAAAAAATGTATTTGGGCTTCTAGGAAAAGGATATATGACTTTTAAGTAAAAGAAAATTGGATTATCTTCAGATTTACTTTTTTTTAGATTGTCATCAGAAAATGGAACAACATCTTGAAGGTAACTGAAGAAAGGAAGTATGAGTCAAGTGTGATGAAAACAAGCAAACTTATGAACATGTAGGAACTCAGGGAATATGGTTCCCATGAACCCTTCTTGGGTAATCTGTTAGGGAACAAGCATCATATAACCAAAATGACTAGTGGTACATCAACATAGGAACTACTGGTGAGTGTGAAATATATTAGGTTGGTGCAAAAGTAATTGTAGAAGTTACTAATAGTTACTAGTACAAAACTAATGGTTGCTAGTACAACTAATTACAAGCTAATATTACTAGTACAAAACTAATACTAGTACAAACTAGTATAAAACTAATAGTTATGGGTACAACTAAGACTAAATGAGGGCTAAAGGGAGAGAGTATGATATAAAATGGCTATGTGCTCTGACAATGTAGAGGTAGTATAACTATCAAAAATCAAGGGGAGCATATACAAAAATTTTTAAATGTTTTTATTAGTCATTTTGGTGATATTATTAGTATTGTTATTCTGAGATTGTTATATATGTAATAGGAAATGAAACAATGAGTAATTGTGGGATATTCTCATTCTATAAACCTCGATCTCCTTGAGATAAGGCTCCTTGGTGTGGAAGAAGGGGGATACAGATGGAATACAGAAGAGATTAAGAGAAAGCTCCATGAGGCAGGGCATGGTGGCTCATACCTGTAATCCCAGCACTTTGAGAGGCCGAGGTGGGAGGATTGTTTGAGCCTAGGAGTTCCAGACCAGCCTGGACAACATAGCAAGACCATGTGTCTAAAAAGAAAAAGAAGAGAGAAAGCTCTGTAGTCTTGAATGTGAATTGGAATTATCAACATAAACTCATGAAGTATTTTAATCTTTAAATATATTTGTATGTGTGCATTTCCTTTTTCTGTCCATTGAAAATACTCTCCATTCTGTCTATTGAAAACAATGGCCAATCCAGCAGCAAGGAATATCCTAAAACCCCAGAATGTGTTCTTGAAATATCATTTCTCCTTAAAAGAAATCAGTGTATCTTGGAGAGGTGGCTGATTCCAGGACTAGGGTGGGAAATTTACGAAATGAACCTTTTGTCAAACTAGATAGCAAGGAAGTTATGTATAAAGACAACCAGAATTATGTTAAAAGTATGAAGAAGCCAAGATTAAGAAGTCCCTACTGGGCCAGGCGTGGTGGCTCATGCCTGTAATCCCAGCACTTTGGGAGGCTGAGGCGGGCAGATAATGAGGTCAGGAGATCAAGAGCATCCTGGCCAACATGGTGAAATCCGTCTCTACTAAAAATACAAAAAAATTAGCTGGGTGTGGTGGTGCACGCCTGTAGTCCCAGCTGCTTGGGAGGCTAAAGCAGGAGAATTACTTGAACTCAGGAGATGGAGATTGCAGTGAGCTGAGATTGCACGACTGTACTACAGCCTGAGCAACAGTGCAAGACTCCGTCTCAAAACAAACAAACAAACAAACAAAAAAGTCCCTACTGGCCAAAGATGGAGCAATTTGAGTTTCAAGAAATAATAATAATTTCAATAAATTAAAAGCTATCAAATATGTTTAAACCACTGAGTTCAGAATAAGTTCCAAAAAGAGAAATGCTTATCTTCAGAGGATAATAGGGAACTAATTCACTATTTTGAAATCTTTTGCACAAGGGGCAAGAATCACACATTTATCTTGCCTTTCCTATTATCACCGAGTAACCAAATAATACATAAGGAGATGTGCCTTCTTACAATAGTTTTACAAATGAAAAATTAAAAAGAAAAGATAGAATAATCATATTACCATTTTGTAATGCCAGTGAATTAAAAGGTATAACTATTAAGCTCCAATAGCTGCTAAAGTCACGGAAGATAAATAAGCAGACATGAGATGCTTTCTATTGCCTTTCCTGACAACAGTCTCTTGTCAACATCCCCAAAAGAGAAATACCAAACACCATGTAGCTACTATAGTTTTGACAGACACTTTGGAAAGGAATAGAACCTGAGTCTGCTCCAGTCTCTGGATCTAGCGGCCAAAGTTCAGAAAATGCAGAGAACAGAGGAACATGCTAAATCTCACCACAAGTGTACAATCAGCAAATTCAGACCATGGGAAACTCTCCAATTGAAAGAGCCTGATAAGTTGTAAGGAAAACAAAGGGATAGAGGAGAAACAATAGCTTAAAAGAGAGTTTAAAAACATATGACTTTTTTTAATGGACAAGACTAAACTACAGTGTCTAGGAATGAACATTTGAGTAAAAACAATTATGAAAGTACAAGGTGACTTCTATAAAAGTCAGGACAATGGTTACTTATGAGAGGAAAGAGGGGTTTGTGAATCAAATTGGACACATGGAGGGCATTTCTGGAGTAGGGGTAAAGTTCTATTTCTTGCTCTTAGTGGGGTTTCATTAATATTTACCTTGTAAAAATTCATTTCACAGCTGGGTATGGTGGCTCACATCTGTAATCCTAGCATTTTGGAAGGCCAAGGTGGGCGGATCATGAGGTCGGGAGTTGGAGACCACCCTGGCCAACATGGTGAAACCCTGTTTCTACTAAAAATACAAAAATTAGCCAGGCGTGGTGGCAGGTGCCTGTAATTCCAGCTGCTTGGGAGGCTGAGGCAGGAGAATTGCTTGAACCCGGGAGGCGGAGGTTGCAGTGAGCCGAGAACACGCCACTGCACTCCAGCCTGGGTGACAGAGCAAGACACTGTCTCAAAAAAAGAAAAATTCATTTCACTACACATTTTATGTGATTTTATGTATCTTTTATTTCATATCAGAAAGATATTTTTTAGAAGACAAGGATCAAGCCTTGTATTATTTTTTGTTCTCAAAATGACAAAACTCTTTTGATGTAAAATTCTGAGTTTTCACAAACATATATAGTCATGAAATCATAACCACAATCAAGATATCATCACTTCAAAACATTCATTTGTGCCCCTTTTAGTCAGCTCATCCCTCCATTCCAAACCATGGTAAGCACTAAACATACTATTTTCTGTTCCTGCACTTTGGCTTTTCTAGAACCTCATATAAACAGAAACATAGAGTATGTAGCCTTTTGAGTCTGGTTTCTTTCACTTAGCATAATGCTTTGAGGTTCATCAAAGTTAGAAAACTTATCAAAGTTTGTTTTTATTGCTAAGTAGTATTCTACTGTATGGATACAGCTCAATTTGCTTATCCATTTAACAAAAGGACATTTGGGTTCTTTCCAGTTTTGGCAATTATGAATAAAGCTGCTATAAACATTTGTATACAATGTGAAAATAAGATTTCATTTCTCTTGAATAGACACCTAGAAGTGAAATTGCTGGTTTATAGGTTAAGTGCACATTTAACTATATAAGAAATTGTCAAATTATATTCCAAAGTGACCACACTATTTTGCATTCCTACAGGCAATATATAAGTTCCAGTTGCTCTGTGTCTTCACCAGCACTTGGTATTGTCGTTTAAAAGTCATTCTAATACATATGTAGTGGTATGTTATTGTAGTTTTAATTTGCACTTCCTTGGTAACTTTCATGTGCTAAATATATGAAAGGATGCTCATTTGCCATCTGTATATCTTCCCTGATAAAAATGCCTATGCAAATGTATGCCCATTTATTTTTTTTTTTTTAGTTTTGTAAAAATCTTTTCTTTTGGGAGGGAACTCAGTTTTAGTGTTTCTCTTTATTTATTTGCTACTAAAAATTGAAATAGCACATTGAAATGTCCTTTTACTGCAATACAAGTTTTTGAAAACCAGAAAACCAAATTAATTATTACCATGCTCTAGCCAAACTACCCGTGTTTTCTTTATATTCTTTCCTCACAAGTTACTTTCCTTCAAATTCTTGATGTTGAGTTTTATCTCACTGACTTCAGGCTTCTAAAACACATAGGGACACTTGAGTCCTATTGCTTCTTTGGGTCAAATCAATAGTTTTGTAAAAATCTTTGATGTCTGACTTAATAGAATCTGGCAGGATTCTCAGATCTGTTTCTTCATGTAATCTGTTGTGATATATTTGGGTTGAAATAAATGAAGAAAATTTAGACTCACATAGGTATATAGTTGAAAAAGGGAGGACTTTGCTAACCCTTTGAAAGACTTTTGGGTTCCTGAGAGTTCCTTGGATTGCTTAAAACCCCAGTGCATACTTATATAACTGCTGCCGTAATTTATTTAACCATCTGTTGATAGGCAGGGTATTTCCAGTTACTTATTGATAACGTGTGCATTAAATGCATTTTCATATATCTGTGTGCCTGCATGTGTATGGTAGAATCTAGACTAGAACTAGAGGTTGAGTATCTGAAATTGTGATAGATTTTGCCAAACTGCCTTCCAAAAGGACTGTATCAGTTTACATTCCCACCAGCAGGAGAGAGGAGTATCCATTTTCTTACGTTTCCTGACACAGGATATTGTGTTTTTTAAATATTTGGCTGTCTCTTGCATCAAAAATGTTATTGTTAGCCTGTCGCATTGGCCTGTGTGGTGCGCTCTTCTTCAAACACACTAAGCCTGCTATCACTTCATGGTATTTACATTTATTCCCACTGCCAGTATGCCCACTTTTTAAAGCAAATTATTGGTTTTCTTATTGTTGAATTGGAGAGTTCTTTATGATCCCTTTCTCTGTTGAATTGCTTTTGTGCCTTGGTCAAAAGTCAACTGGCTACATATGTGTGGGTCTATTCTGGACTTTTTATTGTGTTCCATTGATCTATGTGTCTATCCTTTCACCAGTACATACTATCTTGAGCACTGTAGCTTTATATTAAATTTTAAAATCAAGTTGTATGAATATTCTAATTTTTTGATTATTTTCATAACTGTTTTGGCTATTCTAGTTCCGTTTTCTTTCCATTCATTTCAGAAATAGGCTGTCAATGTATACCAGAAAGAGAGAGAGAGATTTTAAAAATTATTTAAGGACGCTAAGATTTTCCCTATTTCTAAATTGATAGCTTTACTTCTGCTTCTGGTTATGAGTAACTCTTCTGCTGACAACAGCAATAAAACTTGATTAAAACACAAAACAACAGCTCTTTCAGAACATCAGAGAGCAAGCAAGGTAGTCAGAACTTCAAGATTATAAAATCCTTAGTAAAACTGAATAATAGCAGAGGAGTGAGTATGACTTTCTGATTTGCAAAGACATCTAGGCATTTGATGACTCCTAAGTTGCACATGTGTAGGAAGACATCAAGAAATTTAAAAAAGCAGCTACTATGAGGCTAAAAAGCTAAGCAGAGGTGTCTGCAATTTCATGCTCCTGGAGAGATAGAAATTGGAGTTGAGCATCTGACAAGAAGAAAGTACTCTGGTGAACAAACAGGCTTTAAATGGTGACTCCTCAAAGGACTATGCTCTAAAAGTAAGGGCAAACTAGTCTTACATGGATAAAGATGATGTGCCCAAAGCCTATCTCACTACCAGAAAAAAGCAAACTCTTCCGTGGAAGATAATACTATCATCTAGAGTCTTATAATTTTTCCTAGACAAGGTCTGGCATTCAGTTAAAAAAATAAAAAAACTGGATCAAATGACTGAAAATCAAGAGACAAAAGAGACCATGAAAATCAATTTGTAGGTGAAAAAAAATCTTGTTTTTAGTCAAATTTTTAAAAACTAACTGTGGCTAGTATGCTTAAGGAATTAGATGAAATGATGAAAAAATTTCAACAGATGGGCTGGGTATCGTGGCTCATGCCTGTAATCCCAGTACTTTGGGACGCTAAGGTGGGAGGATTGCTTGAGATTAGGATTTTTAGAACAACCT